AAGACTTTCTATCTAAAGAGATCTTGCAGAGCTATTTCTTGCATAAGAGCACCATCGAGAGAAAGATAATACCATACTAGTTCTATCGAGATACATATCTATATGTTCGTACGAGGTATATATCAAAATGGAAACGCTACAACTACTCCGACAGCATCTAGCGCTTGTTCAGCCCTGCGCACAGAAAGTTCACTAAATAGTATATTCTATATACTTGTACACGCGCGATATATAGAAAGTATACGAATGTCTCCGGAGCACCGAGTGTCACTGCTGCTGCTCGGTACTCGTCGAGAAACGCTCTAATTACTTTCTAATAAGCGGCACTTACCAGGCGACGCAAGAATTGACCCCCGTGACGCTCCCTCGTACTCGACCGTTCCGTCCCGTCGCGACGATCGTCATTGGCGTAAAATTATACGTACAGAAAAGATGCTAGAAATTATTACGTCTACCGTCTTCACACCGTGTTTCATCGCTTTGCAAGATTCACCCGACAGACGGTGGAAACAATTTCGACAGCGAATTTCGAAGTGAAAAGAATGATATCGACCAGCGAACGAACCCACGTACAGCACAGCTGTCAATTTTAACGAATGGTGCATCTACAACGGCGACTAATTAATTACTTCGATGACGACAACGAATTTTCACTCCCCGAGCTCCCCCGACCTCGGGAGCGGTCACGAGGGGCCACTTCTCGCGCTATTCTACCTAGCGAGTCTCGAATTAAATCTCGCTTTACACTCGGAGTAATTCTGAGAGTTCGGTGAGAGGGGTGTTGGCATATATGGAGCTTACCCTCACGCCGAATGCGGCGATCTTCAGTATGCACTCGACAGTGAACATCCCCGTGAAGCACATGTTCATGTACTTCAGCGTGTTCTTGTACGGGTCGCTTTGCCGATGGAACTGCAATGCATACACTGACAAACACACGGCCGACAGACAGACATACGTGTACGTACAGGCTTATAAAACTGCGTGTCTCGCCAACGAGAATCGCTTTCGTTTGTTTGTTTTTTTTTTTTCTTTTTCTTTTCCTTTCGCCGTTTCTTTACTTTTCTCTTTTACTCTTTAGTCAAAACGACCCTCTCTTTCTTCCCCTGGACCGTCGCGTCGAGGAGAAGGAAAAAGTGGCTCTGTTTCCCTTGCTTTCTCCACGCCGAAACTCTGTGCACCGATACATGAACATTCTGTGCCGCGATAGGTACGGTGAGACGGGACGAAGCTTGCGTCAGCAGGAAGTCCAAATCGCATGAAAACCGCGACGCGAGAGATAAGCGAAACAATTTGCTATCGTTTGCATCGATAAACCAAAGTCGCGACAGGAAAATTCAACTTGCTGTAATTAAAGTCTAAAAAAACGTGAAATAACTTACACAAATGTTTTTATAATTCTTTAAGCCCGACGCGGAATTTTCATTCCTGCTGAAGCTAGGTCACCCCTTTCTCGTGGTGCATTGTCCGCACGACCATAAAAATTACATCGAGTGAGAAATACCAGAGAAAGAGAGAGAGAGAGAGAGAGAGAGAGAGAGAGAGAGAGAGAGAGAGAGAGAGACATTCTCGCGACGCTTTTTCCCGAAAAATGAGAAGACAGAGAGTGGACAGTAGAGATGAAAAAAAAAGAAAAATAATAAATAGATCATGAAAGAACGGCCGAGTCAGCTTCGTGTCACGAATTGGTACACAGTTTTACAATCGTAAATGGCGTGTGGAAAGTAAAGTGCGAGGTATGCGAAATTTACATATGCATATACGTAAACGTAAGTGACATCGTACGCCATCTTATATCCGAAAAAATAAGGGAGGACATTAATATATGTTTATATATAATATATATCGCCTTATATACGTGTTACGAACCTACTCGATGTGTCATGTACGAGTACAGTCAATAAAAATGTTTGTTCTCTTATATGTAAATATAAATATCTCTTTGCTACTATTTTCTCGAGCGTGGTGCATATGTCGACAATGTGCACGTGGAATACACAGGTGATCAGTTACCTGCGCTTCGCAGTATACGATAGGTCTCTTTAATCGACTTGTTCGGTCCTATGAGATATCGGACGTGTACGGCTCGGTAACAGCTGGTGATTAATTGGCCTTCTGGGTTAATGGACTGTATACCGAACGGTGGACTCCGCCGGACGCGACGAGGGGAGGATCTCTCGACAACGAGGCGAGGACACGCTCCTGCTCGTGTCGCGCTTTTCCGAATCTGAATAGGATTTATCGCTTTGAAATTCACGTGAAGTCTTTGGAAACGAGTCTCCTTTCCTTGAGATTTTACAATTTCCCTGAGATTTAAGGAACTCGTGACATCCATGAAGCTTATTTTATTCGAGTTACCTAAAGAAATCTCCGGAATGAGGAAAGAATACAATAAATAATTCGAAGCGTCGCGATACACGTAGAATTAAATTTCCCCGACGAGAAAAGTTATCGCGCAATGAAATATGTATATTATTATAATTTACGGAGTAATCAATTAATTTTTCGTTTTTTCAAAGGTAATACACACAAGCGCGAATTGCACGACCCTCCACATAGTTCAGATTAAAATCTGCCTCCTGTCGTCGCAACCCGCGGAATCCGTACCAGGATATCTCGGCATATATGAGTTAGTATCTGAAGATACTTGGTCGCTGCTGAATCGAGGACGAGAGTGTGACATTGAAACAAAAGTAAGAGAAACGACCAAAGAGAACACAAAGAACAACCGAAAGGGGAACGAAGACACTCGGAGCAAGTGAAATGTTCGAAATGGAAAGGTGTTGCGACTTGACGGGAGGATCGACGGGGGGTTAATGACGAGACATCATTTCTCGGAAAGAGTGTTCAGACATCTCTGCAATTTTCCGAAAAGGCGGAAAGAGAGGGAGAGGGAAGTGGGGATGGAGCGTCAAACGTGCGATCGCCTCGTGCAGAGTGTGTTTTCTGTCGCTAAAAAACACACACACACACATTCAGTGAACGTCTAATGTTGCCTCGCTCAACTTCTATATTGATTGATCTGTTCGGTGACAGCCAACATGCGACACGCAATTTTGTACGTGTGTGTATGTGTATGTGTGTGTGTGTGTGTGTGTGTGTGTGTGTGTGTGTGTGTGTGTGTGTGTGTGTGTGTGTGTGTGTGTGTGTATGTGTGTGTGTGAGAAAGAGAGAGAGGTGCGGGGCACTCTGTACGTGAGTGCATGTGTATATATGTATGTATTACATGTGTGTGTATAAACACATACACATACACCGTATCGGCCGCCGCTGTCGAACGGAGGGAACACGGGCTGATCAATTAGCGTTATGTAATACAACAAATATTTACGTTATTAATTGACTAATTAATGTCTAGAAGCGGAATAATCAATCCTGCGGCTCATGGATAAAACAAAGTATCTTACAATAAGGGGATTTCCTCTCATCCTTGAGCCAGGTGTGACTATTCCAGTCGCAATGTCGCGAAACATGCACCACCGAAATTATCCCGGCATATCACCTACTTAATTTTCTCATTTAACTCAAATTTCACAATAATTGGCTAATCGATTCCCGCCGATATCTCCGTCGATCAAAGCCATTATTTTCATGCTAATCGCTAATCAATAAAATTTCAAATAGCAAGACGCCGTCTCTCCGTTCGCATGCAGCGAATGTATCCGGCAACGTAAGCATCGTGTCACTCATTTGAATATGTGCTCTCAAGACCTGGTGCAGTGCGTGTGCAAATGAACCGAACATTCCGTGTTCCTTTTTCTTTTTTTTTTCAGGCAACAAGTCCGACCACATGATGTCATAATTGGGCGGTGTATGAATTCGAATCAGGCGCGTGCGTGTACGCACGCTTATGTACATGTGTGTATGCGTGTGTTTGCTTGGTGTCTACCTCTAATTCAGCGAGTCTGGACAAGGGCTGGTCTCGTTCGACACAGGCGGAGGTGGAAATCTATCTCGTGCGTTTAAACTGTACAGATCGGGGATCGAGAGGTAAACGAAGGGACCGAGATTCGGAGAGACCTTCAACTTTTCAAGACGCAAGCGTGCGCGAATATGGCTAAAATTCTCTGTCATCGATTCGCCACTATTCCAGCAACGCCGGCTGAACTTTGGACTCGGAGGGTGAATCGAATTGCAGATCCCGTGCCGTGGAGAGAGTGATACTAATTCTCAGACCTCATTCAAGACATAAACGTCGAAATTCTATTCTCCTTAAAGAACTAATGAGGCAAGTCGAGAAGAGCAAGGAAGTGAGTCTGCAAGCAAATCTCTGATTCAGAACCCGACTCAACGTCCAAATCCATTCATCCGTCGTTATCAGTCGAGTTAGATAATTGGATGGAAAAATGGAAAAACGGAAGAATGTGACGAATTTTCTACGATGAAATCAGCTGTTATCGCAAAATCGAGAAGAAATGCCGCACTTAATGCTCATGTAAAATTGTTTGGAAAAATTACGATAAGCGTTAAGCGAAGATGCAAAGATTTTTCTACAGTTTCACGACAGTTGCAGCAAATTTGATCATTGTAAACTCATTTCACATTGTTTCATTTGTTCTCGGTGTTTAGGTCTCAACCACTCTACTTGATTTCATATAGATGAAACGCAAAATTATCCACAAAGATGACTTTCGCGTTTTAAAACAGATGTCGAGAGAAAGAGGGAAAGAAAGAAAGAAAGAGAGAGAGAGAGAGAGAGAGAGAGAGAGAAAGAGAGAGAGAAAAAAAGAAAGAAAAAGTGTAAACGTCAATTTTAAAGAGAGGTGCTTTTCAAAACAACACTGTGGGCTCGCGTGCAGGACTCGTAGACGCCGAAAAGTCGCAATCTTCCGGCATCCTCTCCTCTAAAATCTCGGTTCGTATTAAGCGGATGAAAGAGGTGCTAGGCGCCTTCGTCCTGCTACCAGTTAAAACATGGTATTAGCAAGACGCAAGAGTCGAACGCACGTCGTGTATATGTGTATTATGTGTGTGTCTGTGGAGGTCACATCGATGTTCGAACGTTCCCTTCACACGTTCTCGAGTATGTCTACTTCGAAAACGAGGACACAGTGGCAGCCATGCAATTAGTCGAACGAGGGATCAGATAGAAATCGGTTTTAGGGTAAGAAAAATAAACATGAGAGGGACAGGAATACACATCCAAAAATAGACGGTAAAATTAAAGCGAATTGGAACTGAACGAAAAAACGGTCTCCCCATTACGTAATCGACACAGCACATACGCTCTCTCATAAATCAGCGAAATGAAAAAGAATTCACGTTATGGAAATTCCTACGTTAACCGACACGTATCGTGCAAAAATTGCCGAAAAGCTGCTACTTTTTTACTCTCTCAAGTTCCGGTCTTCGACATTTTTCTGGTCATTTATCGTAGTTAGAATTAAATGATTCATTTCATCGGAAAACACAAAACGCTAAGCTTTGCAGACATTTGACCGATATAATACTATTTACAAAATAAATTCATCGATAATAAGATATAAAAATCATCAGGACATGAACTCAGCTGAATTCTCGCAAAGGTAGCTTAAACACTGAACCAAGATCATGGAATATAAAAGTCGTTGAGAGACGAAAATGAAAAAGATAATTGTTAGAAAGTAGGAAACGAAGAAACAAACATCATACGGTAAGTCGCCAAAGAGACAGGAGATTTTGCGGGAGAATGTTCGGAGAGCAGGGCAAGATAATTCGACATAGCTGTGTACACGTATTGGTAAGTACAAGGATGACAGTTATACAGAGAAAACGATCAAAAAAGATCAGCAGGCAAGAACAACAATGTCCTCGTATAATAACGTGATATATATATGGTACAGTAATTCGGCATTACGTACGCTATTTGGACGCGACATATTCTCGTTTATGACCTCGCGTATTCGTTACGCTAACAAGAGACGAGACTGTTCGTCGATTGGTTAAAGTTGCCCAAACAGGTCTAATGGGTCTCACGTTAAAAAATTACGCGACCATCAAAAAGACCGGGAATCGCAAAACGCAAAAATAAACGGGTAGGACACGGCAGCTCCAAAAATGAAACATAAACACTAAGTTTCTGTTCTTAAAAATTCAAGCCCAAAATCTTGCAAAAAATATCTTGCTCATTATCATAGTTTTCTTTGTCATGTACTTTCCTCAAAGTACGATAATTCGCATTTATGTGCTTTTTAGAACTGCGATGTGAGGAATCAAAAGCAGTCGATGGCAACTCGAAGATTTGCAAAAATTTTCCCGAATCGAAATTTGAATTCTATAATAAACATATAAATTCCTAACAATTCGATCTCGAAAGATAAATGAAGAATCCTAAGATAAAACTATACAAGCTATTATCCTGTCATTGATACTTGATGCTGCTAACCGTCGTCCTCTTCACGTTGGAGCTTAAAGAAAAATCTACTTAAGAATTATTTAATATTTTTCTTTCCGATTATTTCGATACTTCTCCTTCATCTGATCTTCATTCTTAATTTCAATAAGAAATCTATTAATTATGTAGTTTACTTAACTATAAATACAGTATAGACGCGGTAAGTAAATATTAAATAATTAATAAATCGATAAATAGTAGGATCAATGGATAAATTAAACAACAAACTTCCTTTCTGCGTAATCTGTTTGTCGTTACTTGTCTTTTCATCGACGATGGAAATTTTAATAGGATTTGAAGTTTTAAAGAACGTGAGGAAAGTTATAAAAGCAAAGACAGCAGTCGTGTGTCCAATTTGAATTTGTTACAATAATAATGATAAAACGAAGAAAGACGTTGACAGATTCGAGACAGGACTTGGGATCCAAGGAACATTCTTAAACTCACAAATCAGACTTAGACCAGACTTTAAATTTCGATTTGGGTATTCCCTTATTTTCAATAAATACGTTAACGATTGTTCGTTAGGCTCAAAAATAACCCCTATAATAAGTGATTTGACACACCTGGAACTATATGATGTACCACTGTTCATGACCTCCATCCTGGCTTGCCAACTCAGCATCCTGCTTCCGGTTGCTCCGAATACTCCATCATAGCACTGACACTAGCGTTCACACTAACACTCACGTAGATGTGATCCGGTCGGAAAAACGTGTTAATTGACGCGATGTTCACGAGAACTAAATTAAATATGTCTAAAGTCATCGTCATTGTCCATCGACCAATAACACACAGATGATCTCGTCGAGAGATAATAACAGTCAACATTTTCAAAACATTCCACAAGTCCCACCTTGAATTTGCCATTACCTTTCTTTCACTTCTGTTTAAAGAATTACTGTTATTACACCTATTCTCCAAATTTGGATCTATTGGTTTACGATATTATTGGACACACAACCGTTATCTTTATCTTTACAACTCCAAATGGATCATGAAAAAGAAGTTTGTTATTTTATCACATTTATCCATTGATTATTATTAGATTAGTTAATATTTACTTATTGTAAATATATTCTATCTTTAGTTGAATTAGTTATATAATTTATACGACGTTTAATAAATCCAGAATAATGCAGATAGAAAGAGAATATTGAAATATAATTGTATATTAAATATTTTCGAATATTTTCGAATATCTATTTCTTAAATCGCAGGACCTGGAGCCATTTTCAGCAGGTCAACTTGAACATGAAGAAAACTTTAATAAGTTTGCAGCACCAAAGAACAACAGCTTGTATAATGTTTTATCTTGAGATTCTTCATTGACCCTTCAAGTTCGAAGGAACTCGCGAGATCAATGTAAAATCAAATTTTCGATTCTATTTGTTTCGAATCGATTTTGAAATTTAGATTTGCAAAGGATCTTTTGCAAACCTCGATTTGTACGATTCTCGCTTTAGACCAAAACACTCTTCCTTCGTCATTCGCGTTTGCTAGATCGGAGCGAATCGGGGGGAAAAACATTGGCATTCTGATTAGTAAATCTCTATCTGAAAAACTAAAGTGCACACGAAGGAGAGAAACCGACGATCATGACACTTACCTTCATCATAAGGAGTAACGTGTTCAAGACGATGAGAATCATGATAAAATACTCGAATGGCGTGGATACAACTATCTTCCAGATTTTGTACTTTATGCTATTCCGCTCCTTCGGCATGTACCTCTCGAGCGGCCGAGCTTGTATTGTAAAGTCTATACAAGATTTCTGAAAAAAAAAATACGAGGACACGTAGCATTAATTGCAAATAAATAAAAAATTACCACCATAGATACCTCTTTTTACATATCTTCGGAAAAAGTGTGCGATTCTTACGTTTTAAAAAAGTGCGCGAGACACTTGGGATGTACTTTCGACAAAATTGGGATTCTAATGGATAGCATAAAACACAATCGACCTAAATCTCTAGGAAATTTACCTAATTTTCACAGAACGTCTGCGAAACGTAAAGTTTATAATTTAAACACGAGCGAAGGGACAATTCATACGAAGTATCACCTGATTCTTATCGATTTCACCGTCCTGTAGTTCAGCCTCTCCCTGCTCCTGGAACGTGATAATGATCAAGGCCACGAAGATGTTGACGAAGAAGAACGGAAAGACGATGAAGTAAACGATGTAGAAAATGGACATCTCGATGCGAAAATTCTGGATGGGGCCCTTGTTCTCGTACGTGGCCGCCATCGAGTTCTGTAGGACCTGCGGCCAGCCCTCGCCGGTCTGTACGGCGAACAACGTCAGCATGGCCACCATTACGTTGTCGTAGTGAAAAGACTGCGATTGCCATTTCCGTGGCTGAAGTTCCGGTAGCATGGAATCTTCCTCGAAAACGAAGAATTGACCACTGTCGGGGAAACCAAATTAATTTCTATTCGCACCGTCCGTGAGATACGCTATTCTAACCCGATAATCGACAGATTGCTCTTAAACCAGTCGACAGCCTTAATTAATAACTTTTTATCCCACTTAATTGGCGCACGCTTTCACGTCTGAGCAACAATACATCTGACTTTTAATATTAAACGCATTCCACAAAATCTCTATTTATATTTCTTACAGAACTTTCGTCGATAAATAAGATTGCGCGAAAACGTACGCTTGAAACTAACCAACATAAGTTAAACAGACGTTACTCACTTGCAATCCTCCTTCGTATACTTGCTCTCGTCGGTGCAGTAGAAGAACTTGCCGTTGAACAGCTGCACCGCGATCACAGCGAATATGAATTGGAACAATATATACACTATGAGAATGTTAATGACGTTCTTGAGACTGTTCACCACACAGTCGAACACCGCCTTGAGCTTCGGTACGCGCTTTATCGTCTTTAGCGGCCTAAGCACCCGCAGCACCCTGAGCGACTTGATGGTCGAGAGGTTCTGGCCGGCCGAGCTGCCGGACATGTCGAACGCGAACGACACCATCGCGCATATCACGACCACCGCGTCCATAACGTTCCAAAACTCGCGCAGGTACGAACCCGGGTGCAGTATGATGCCGAGATCGATGATCTTCAGCACCATTTCGATGGTGAAGACGCCGGTGAACGCGTAATCGAAGTAGTTGAGGATCGTGTTCCTCGGCGCGAGCTCCCAGACGGGGTCCTCGGCGGCTAGCGCGATACTCGACAGCGATATCACTATCATTATGAAGAAGTCGAAGTACCGAAGGTTAACGACCCAGTGGGCGGCTTTTCTTATGCTGCAAAGAACGTCTACAATGAGATATCAGAGCTTCCGCGCACTCGCGGTGGAAAGCGCGGAAAGAAAGAGAGAGAGAGAGAGAGAGAGAGAGAGAGAGAGAGAGAGAGAGAGAGAAATTCCAGCAAACTTACGGATTCGTAGGGGACAGTATAAACATGGAGGAGTATGGCAGCATTGGTTTTGGTCCCGTGTCGTCGTCTTCATCCTGCTTCTTCTCTTTGGACTTCTTTTCACCTTTTCCATTTTTGCTGGAAAAGACGAGACATGTTCTTTTCATTTTGCATCGTACACCGTGTCTACTTTCTCTCCTCCACACTTTTCCATTCAACTATTATATTTTTTATGTGGCTCGATTAGTTATTATATATTTAATCGATTGATATGAAATGATAATTTCATTAACTTGTAATCGCATTTCAAAGTTTCAAGCTCGATTAAGAAAACGTCGAAAAGCGTAGACGCGTAAGCTTTGCACAAAGTTCAGTAAAATTCAGACAGTGATTTCATAATGATAATTACACGGAGAAATTCGCAGAGAAGATAATTTCGACAAGATAAAAGGGAAACTTACAAATTCTTTTCTTCAGAGGAGATTCCTATCTTCGACGCACTACCGCTCCCGGGCTTTTGCAGCGACTCGATCTCCTTCCCGAGCTCCTGCATCTGCTTCTCCTTGTCCTCCTCCTTCTTCTCATCCTCGGCGGCACTCAGCTCCTGCGCGTTCGCGAGATTGTCAACGGCGATAGCCAAGAAGACGTTCAGCAGGGTGTAGTTGCCGAAGAGCACCAGCACGATGAAGTAGAGCGAGTAGGCCATGCCCTGCGACTCGACACCCTGGTACATCACTTCGTTCCAGTCTTCTCCAGTCAGGACCTGCGCGATTAATTGCGAGTTAGACATTATTGAGTCTACGTTCGTCTCATTGAAGCTTTGCGAGTTAAGATTTCATACTATTCCGATATTGTGGATATTGTAAAGGCTGGCGAGACTACAGAATGGATACCTTCTCTCGCCAACCAAATCTTCCTACATGTTAAAGTAATCAGCAAACCACGCGTGGTGCAAAGTAGAATGACGTTTTCGTTATAAGAATTCCAACGTATCGCTCGGTGATAATAAATTTAAACCTTCCGACGTGATTTACTGATATAAAGTTTCGTATCGATCAATCAATAGGACTTACTTGGAAGACAGTGAGTAGTGCGATGGGAAAGGTGTTGAAGTTAGTGGGCGGCGTGCCGCTGTCAAAGTTGAACTGGCCGCCGAAGAGCTGCATACCGAGCAGCGCGAATATGAGGATGAAAAGGAAGAGCAAGAAGAGAAGAGAGATGATGCTGCGCATCGAGCTGAGCAGCGATATCACGAGATTCCTCAGGCTCTTCCAGTATTTGGTGACCTTAAAAATTCTCAGGAGTCTAAGGGCACGTAGGACGGAGAGGCCGAAAGAGCCGGACTTCAACGCGGACCAGATCACCTCGAAGATCGAGCCCAAGATGACAATGCAGTCGAAGCGATTGAAGCTCGATTCGAAGTATGTGCGAGGACCGAGCGCGTACATCTTGATAAACATCTCCAACATGAAGAGGGCCAGGAACACAAACTCTGCGTAGACTGCAGACAGAATGAACAAAAATCGTGGATCTTTTCAGAAACATATATTTATGTGTTTAGATACACCAGATTTTCCTTATTTAATTCAAACTTTGTCAAAAAAGATTATTAACAAACGAACATTACTGTAAATAAAGATTCACCACAAAATGTCACAGCAACAAAAAAATCTCGTCGTATGACTGACAGACGTCGTGTTTTTATTGCCAAAAAGTTAAATCAGTCTCTTCTGATTTTAATAAAATCATCAACAGATTAATCGTTAAAACACTTAAAGTTGAGTTTTACGTTGCTCATTATTATTATTTTATTTTATTAGAGTCCGATACATGTAAAAAGTTTGCAGAGTACTCACAGAGAAAATCGGTGAGCCACTTCGGCTGATCGTAATGCTCAACAGCCACGCAGACGGTGTTGAAGAACACAAGGACGATGACGAACCAGTAGAACTGCTGCGACTTGACGGAGTTCCGTATCCAGAACCTGAATTGCTTCTCGGCCCGCCAGAACTGCAGACAGGTGCCTTGCTTCTTCACCTTCGACTTGAAGTAGGAAGTTCTCGAGAACCCTACAAAGCAGAAACGTGCGTCGTCAGAGAAGCGAGACACAAATCGGTCGGCCTGGAGAACACGACGCGGACCAGTCGATCGATTAATTGCGAACGGCGTCGTCGTCACTCTCACATCAACGTGAATCGTCCAACGCGTCTTTCCTTGGGAACTTGACAATTTCTTTCAATACTACATATTCTTCTCGGTTCACTTTCTCAAGCTAAGCTACTTTCGCGGCTACAAACTCTAAGATCTAGACTCGCGCGAAATTTCCCAAGATTTACGCCGGTCTACGTTCTCAGTTTAAGAAACTCCCGAATCCGAATAATGTCTAACGATGTACTTTCGGAAATCCGTCGAGAAGAAATGAATATCGCGCGATCGGAAATTGAACGGTCCCAGATATCGACACTTCGAATCGTTTTATGCGCCGACCGGAAGAGTCGGAAAATCATTTTCCCCTTTCCGCTCGGACGGGAGGGACGTAAGAGATAGAGATATAGATATAAAGAAATACCAAAATTCTATTCTAAGTTATTCTACGTTCTAAGCGGATACAGCTATGTATGTGTATGGCGAGATACGTATGTATATATCATGGCTACTCGGTTACGCTATGTATGTTACCACATCGACAGACCGATAACCGGTCTGCCTCGTAAACTCTATGGGATAGGATTCACAGTACACTACTTGAGGGCGGGGCGGGGGCGGAGGGGCTAAATCCTCGATCGACAATACTAAGTGTACTCTACTGTTCGATCAGTTTGTTTCCACTAACTAAGATCAAATCCATAAAAAACATTAATCAATATCCCACCACCATATGGTATGCCTAAGTCATATAGACATACTTTAGTCGGGAACACTCGCGCTCGAACACGACGAAAGAGAGAAGAATAAAATTAGAAGGCCCACGATTGTTACTTCGTGGAAAATGGAGAAAGTGCATAAAAAATCTGGGACGTTTTGGAATGTATTACTTGTACTATAAAAGTTCAGAAATTTCACAGGAAATTCTAGACTTCTAAGAAACGAAGAAAGTATGATCGCGCGAGCGTTCTCGGCTGCAAAGAAAATATAATATTCATATATCGTCACACCAGCCACAATACATATATATATATATATATACATATACATATATATATATATATATATATATATATATATATATATATAGAAAGCAATGCCTAGAAAACGAAAAAGGAATTAGCACTCGAGCACTCCCCGATCTGTCCGTCTCTCGACGATGCCCGCGCGTGATACTCGAGTGATACATGTCTCAGCCACAAGTCAGCGCAGCAAGTCGTTTCTGAGTAATAAGTTGCAGACAGACAGTGCATAATAGTCACATCCTCTACCACGCACGAGTAATCACAACACGTATTCCACCGGCCCTTACTTTACCGTCAGTTCTTATCATCGCACAGTCGACTCTCTATCATGCTTTCTGCGCGCCCGCAATCCGCGACTTTGATGCTCATACTGCGATAAATAATAATCTAGCTACATGAAGACGATTACACTTCGTGTGTAAAGTGTAACAGACTTCGCGAGCGGGCGACAGTATGCGTGTCTGTGCGTGTATATGTGTGCACACACGTGTATTAAACGCGCGTAAGGTCATCATATTAACGTTGCATTAACGACGAAAAAGCGCTTCAACTCGACAGATCTAATCTCGTGCGAGAGAGCATCGCATGAATGCGTTTTTCTTTATTATCAATTTCTTGTCTTCCTTTGATCCGTGCACCGGCACGGATTTGTCAACGTGATAAAGGACGAAAATTGGAGTATATCGTAGAGTTAATTATCGAAAGCGTTCTTTTTTCTGGCAACAAGACTAGCGATGAGCGAAAATCTAGCGTACCGGAACTACGCTTCATCGCGAGATTGCGAATTCTTCACGCGTCTCAAACCAAGCTCAACGAGCTAATTGATGGCACAGCCTGTACTGTGTACGCGGGGAATATGCGTGAAATCACTGATTTACCAAGCGACAGCTCACGTTTCTCTAATCATATAGACGTGGCACGCACGATGTTACTTGTATACGTGTGTATTACCAACCAAAGAGTGGAAAATCTGTCACACAAATTAAATGAAGTACAAAAAAGAAAAGAAAAACGAACGGAAAGAAATGATTATACAAAATTACGAGTACAGCCTTGTGAGATTACGTTGCTCATTGCGATAAGTCGTGTGGCATTCACGGTCGTAGTTACCTTTGAGCTTTTTCTTAGGCACTGAAACAAGAGGAGCATCTGATAGCGTGTGTTTAGAATGTTCATCGTCAGATTTTCGGGGGGAGGGAGGACTCTCTGAAGAGCGCGTTGTTTTTTTCTTTTATTTTGTTTTGTTTTTTTCTTTTTTTCGTTCTTCTTTCGACGCAAGGGGGAAGAATTCATCAGGCATGAATCGATGTCGAGTGTCAACAATACGTCAGCGAAACGTGAATAAACGCTAACACGTGCCAATAAATATAGAGAGAAATTTCGGAACGAGAGAAAGGGCGAGCCAAAGTCTCGCGCCAACGATTTCCTGCGCGACGTGAACCAATTCTTCAGGATACGTAACGTGCGACTTTCGTGCACCTCGACGGATACGCGATACAAGCTCGCTTCCGCTTGTTTCCTCGCGGCTCGCAGAAATTTTGCGTTTCGTCATGCGTTTTCGGTGATGGATCCGTCATTAGGAAATTGTTGGCTGCTACCACAGGTTTCTGACTACTGAGAATCATGAAATTCCTCACTACTTGAACTTCGTCTCGACTTTACAACATGAATTCGTTCGAACATTTTGAGAAGAGAAAGAAAGATAGAGAGAAAGAGAGAGAAAGAGAAAGTGGGAAAGAGAGAAAAAGATATATATATATATAGAGAGAGAGAGAGACAGAGAGAGAGAGAGAGAGAGAGAGAGAGAGAGAGAGAAGAGAAAAAAGTCGTTAACTTTGAATATAAAGAAAAAACGAGAAGAAAGAGAGTATAAAATATACACTGAGTAGGCAAAATACAACTCACCATCGTCCTGATCATCCTCGCCCTCCTCCTCCTCTGTATCAGTGCTTTTACTCTTGCCGAGATTCTTCAGCTTCTTCTTCTTGGCAGCCGCTCTTCTTCTTGCTACGTAACATAGACACACATACACGTACATATATGTAAACGCACATATACACAGCGTGAGAGGGAGAGAGAGTCGGATCAAGTCGTGCCAAAGTTTCTGCATCTGATTAATTAAAAGATTACGAGACGAGAACGTTTTCCGAATACCACGACGGCGTACGACGGCGTACGATGGCGTCTCTCGCGATAAGAAAAAGAAGGAGGGAAAGAAGGAGAGAAGAAAAAAACAAGGAAGGATACTCGAAAATCGCACGAACGCGTCAAAAAGAGGCACGAGCGCGCGCAATGCTTGGGACACTCGGTATAAATATGCACGAGAGTGTTTCGGAGAGAAGCGACTCCTCTCTTCCTCTCTCGCGAAACTCTTTTTAACTTTATAGAAATGAATATTCATGCCACGACGATACACGTTTCGTTATATGGACCTTCTAATATGTGCATTTTCTCCTCTTCCGTGGTCCTCTCTTCGGCGAGTATCACCTCCTCTGCAAAAAAGTAAACGGATGTGCGTTAATGGCAATAATTAAACGCGAGAGCCGGCGACTTGCGGGTCTAGCTTACGCAACAAGCTGCAACTCGTGCAAGCGCGCGCTCTTTTCTTTCCTTTTCTTTTCTTTTCTCTTCGCTTGTGCGAAACAGACCAATTAAAACTGACCGGACAGGGATCCGCGTGTATTCGCGAGTCTTTGAGACTCGGCGGAGTCTCACAGAGTAAGGAAAACACGCGAGACAGGTCTCCTTTTTTGTTTTTCTTATGTGAAATGCGTCTTCCCCGCGAGAAAAGTCAGTGATTCCGCAAAACGACAGAACCTTTGCGTTTTCCTTTTCCTTTCTCACGGGGACAAATCCCCGTCACGATCCCTTTTTAATTCGCATATTTCCTCGCTAGGTCGACAGCGAGTCCTACGACGATCGGTCTAACCTGCTTTGCAGATCCAATTGAGGTAACAATTCAGTTCGCGCTCGAGCTGCTGCTGTCTTCGCAACTTCAGGAAGGTCTGCCGGTTCTCCACTTTCTCTCTCTCCTTCGCAAACTCTCTACACAAGCGTGATACAGGTGACATGGAAGCTTACTCGGGAGTACTTTCATAAGGGCTAAGTTTAGCGCGGGACTTTCTGGCGTTATTAGATATCCTGGCAATACCGGCGTGCTTAATAAGCTTGCCGTACTTATGTGCTTAACGAGAATAGCATTGGGAGACTTCTTCGAAAAGTCGATCCCTCCCGCGCGTAATATTCGTCTCGTGAGTTTCTTCAACCTAGCTCGCATTAGAATTAAGCAGCTAACTACAGTGCGAGATTACGATCGGTTTTTAATTATAATCGTTAACTACTCCCCGGTGCTCTCTCCCGATCAAGGATTTAACCCTCCGTGTATCGTCACGATCCGATGGATCGAATATGCATTTTTGACTTTCGAGTAGTTCCGGTTGTTCGCAAGTAAGACTGGCATTTCATGAAACTCTCAGTCCTCCTCACAAATTTCGCGACGGATAATGGCCAAATGTACGCGTATAAATCTCGATAAAATAAAACGTATTCTTGCGATCGACACGTCACACCGAGGGTCAAAGTAAATTTGCAACGATATTCATCGCGCTCGAGGATCAAGAAACGCGGTTCAGCTCGACTTATTTTCGCTCTAGCTTCAGCCAAGAGAGGAGCAATGCTAAACGCGTCGAAAGGGCGCAACTGATTACACGCTAGCATTAGAAGCAACGTCTACTAATGAGAGACCTGCTTGAGTGATCCACTTTAAGTAGGAACTGAACGCAGTCGTGAAGAGTCGCTTGCTCTTCGCTTTCCGATAAGCCGCCCGGCGTTCGACGCGCGTTCTTTCGTTCGAAAACTCCCTGACGAGGAAAGAAAGCGATTCTGTCAAGTGGTCGGTACACGCTCTCCTCTCGATCGATCTTCTCGCGCGGATTCGCGCGATATCGTGACGGGGCAGGGAATCGTGTGTCGGGCCACGCGGACGCCCCGGACGCGCAGCGTGTATTATCGGGCACATGTGTGTGTGTTTGTCATACTCACCCGCTCAAGACACCGAGAACTAAGTTCAGCATGAAGAATGATCCAAGGACGATCAATGGTATAAAGTAAATCCAGTTGTACGTGCTGCCAAGAGCGTCGTTCGTCTGCAAATTCGACCAAAACCAGAATCAAGCGCGCGTGCCGCGTGTACGCACGTACGCGCGTATCACGCCAGGTTTACACACAGCTGAGCGTAATATCAATCAATTAACGGCAAGAGGGCGATTATGCGACACAGAGAAACACTGGGTCTTGCGTCTCGCTGACGCAAAATGCGCGGCGCCGAGTGCGGTCCTCCGATACCGGCCGAAACGCCAGAGAGCGCGCGAGCGCGCTCGCGAATTTCTTCATTCGTTACTCGATCGTTTAAAATCGCTTCTCCCTCCTGGGACGGGAAAGCACGAATCGTCATCACAAACAGGGTGGATCAACGACCGCACTTGCGCACCGCGTGATAATATCAGCGTTTGTAAATTGTACGTTCGTACTTCGAAACCATCTAAAGTAACCTGAGAGAAAAAGCCAGTCGGGGGGAAATATGCCATTTTTCGAATTGGTTCGAAACTGCGTTTTCGCGAGAGTCAGTCCGACACGTGGCTATCTCGGATATCCGAAATATCGGCTTCGATTCCATTGGAAATCGGGCTCGGATCAGCCAAACGAGAGATCGCCGAGAGTTGCAATTTTCGAAGCATGGCTCTTCTCGCCCCGACCTTTCTTTTAGGTTGCCTAACTACGAAAATCGATAAGGAGGCGATCCAAAAGTCGCCTCGAGGTCTCAATAAACAGTTAACAATAAGTGATTTCGTTACAGCCGGCGGAGCGACGATCGCGGGGCTTCGACAAGTTTCACCGCTCTCTCGAAGGGGGTGACTCGTTCGCGGCGCGACGCTATCAGCGAGCCCTTCGCGATCCACCGGCTGAACATTAACCCTTTCGTGATCAGCGAGCCTAAAATATTTCTGAGCACTGCACTGAACGCGGATCTCGTTTCTAGAAGTTCAAAGAGTTCGCGATAAAACGTGATTCGAATTCGATCACAAAAGGGTTAAGCACAATGAAAGGTATACAATTAACATCGATATTGAAACATTGAAAAAAGAGGGCTGGTACTGACAGTGTTATACTGAGCAAGGTGAACATATACGTCAGTGTTAGCTGTTTCCGCAGGCATTCCTTCATCTAAAGCCGATTCACGCCGGCGTACAAAGAGAGGGAAGGTCGGAATGGTACGAAACACACAAAGATCGCGCGGCAATGTAATTGCGTAAGGAATAAACGTTTAGGCCGGGAAGATATATATATATATATGGACTCACGATACAAGCAAATAGAAGGGAGTCCCCGTACCGAGTCAGATGAAGCGATAATGTCTTCTGAGACGGCTAAATTGATGAGGAAAGTTCGAAGGAAGAGGAATCGATTTATCATCATATTTTACGGCGCGTCAGTGTGACAATTATTACAAACGTATTCGCGCCGATTATTACCTCCTGCACCAGACAGTTCCCATTTTTCGTAAAATTCGATTCAATTCGCGTCTCGTCTTACACGAGAGCGACTCACTCGACGGTACATTTATTACAACACATAAGCCCAAAAAAAGCAAATTTAATACAAACAAAATTAATAAAATTAATTTTCTCATAAGGATTTCGACCAACGATTTTGATGACGCTCTACTTTGCCAAATTTCTCAAGGCGCACAACAGATAGGCAGGGAAGATAGTGAACGAGGGAGGATGATGAGATGTATAAAAATATGATACAAAAGCGCGAAGCGCTGGCGATCGATGAAGAGCTGCGGCTCAATGGTGCTACGGGGGAGAATTTTGACTATCGGCCTTTCGTACGAAACGACGAAAGAGGAAGCCTCGGCTTTCGCGCCGTGTAGGCGCAAATCGTGCGCGCGACAACGACAGAGGTCCAAATTGCCAGAGCAGAGAAAGAGACAGAGAAGAGAAAATGAGCGAGAAAGAGAACAGGTGGAATACAGCGAGAGAAAGAGTAAAAAGAAATTTCAACACTGAAGAACATATTTCTTGCTTTACCCAGTACAATATGGCAGTCCAGCCCTCCATAGTGATACACTGGAAGACAGTGAGCATGGCGAATCCGATGTTATCGAAGCTGGTGATGCCCGAGTTTGGTCCCTCCCAGTGATCCATGCACGTCGAGACGTTCGCGTCGCACACGTGGGCCCCCGGCGGGGCGTCATTCTTGATATCCGTGTTGCACGGGCTCGGAAACTCGCCCTCCTTTATGATTACACCTGCAATATCAACGTCATGAGAGACGACGCTCACCCTTGGGCGCTTGGGACCCTCAACAGCCGAATGACTTATATCTCTCTATACTGAGTCAATCAAAAAGTTCCGCCCGATCGTTGAGTGGAAATTAATTTTGTTGCATTCGACGGAAATTATTCATCAACAGTCACAGTTGATATGTGTGACATTGTTTATTTGAAATCAAATCAAACTTTTTGACTGATCTAATAAACGTGAACTATCTACTTTTACCATGTTCTCGGGTTCTCTTAGAATCGTTCATATAGCGAGTAAAAAACATATATATGAATATACAATATATATAATAATAATAATAATATCATAAGAGAGAGAGATCTACTTTACGATCTCTGATACGAAATCTATTCGTATGTGATGTGACAGGATTAGTTTGTACAATAGTGATATAACGGCAACCAGCATCGTGTCTGAATGTCTCCGAATAATGATTCAAGTCATGTCCAGTACTCACTGGTATCCCTTATACTGTAGCACGTTTTATGCAGAGTTCCCGAATAAAACTCGAGGCCGATGATAGCGAATATCACGATGGCGAAGAGTACCAGCAGACCGATCTGCAGGAGCGGCGCCATTGCCTTGATGATAGACTTGAGCACCACCTGAAGACCTGTGCGCAAAAAATCGCCGAGGAGTAATTAGGCCCAACCACCGTTCCCACGGGATCAATGCGGAATTCTACGCTCAACGGAATAGCTTTCGCCTCTCTCTCTCTCTCATTCTCTCTCTCTCTCTCTCTCTCTCTCTCTCTCTCTCTCTCTCTCTCTCTCTCTCTCTCTCTCTCTCTCTCTCTCTCTCTCTCTATTCGTGCATGGTCAACATCCGTTGCTCGAGGAGTCGCGAGTGAATGAATTTTTGCAATGCGACATCAACGATATCTCGAAATAATTGAAAGGTACAAAACCCAATCGCGCAAGTACAAAGTTGATCAGTCGCCCGATATCTCCAATATGACGGAAAAGTCAGACTTTACAATCATCCGCGACTGAGAGTCACTCACAAACAGACTCTCGAAGAATAGTACACATTCGATATGTTACACGAAACTTTACGCGACGTTGAATCTTTGTCGAGATGACTCCGCGTCGAAGAATTAGGACACCTCCGCCGCATCTAAACACAACACATCCAGCTCTCAATGATATCTATTTGGGCGGTACTACCAACATAAAACAAACGATCGATCTAAAGTCTGGCAAGGCATCTACGGTCTGACTACGGTGGCAAGGCATCTGTAATAGATAGATAGATAAATAGATGGATAGATAGATAGATATATACTTGCAATTAGATCTTATACTACTCTGAGATCTACTGACTTGACCTCCAAGATAAATTCGTTAATTCGCTCGCCATTTAAATCTATGTGTAGCCACTATATTCAAGAAATAGTAAATATCTTCGACGGCGGATCGCGCTGGATCTTCGAGGTGTCCGAGTCCCAGACACGGAGAATTGGTTCCGAGCCAAGCTCTCTCCTTGTCTCTCTCCCTCTCTCTCTCTCTCTCTCTCTCTCTCTCTCATCCTCGAGCAACAAGATCGCCCGCATTTTTGCCGTACGTCTAGCGCCAAATGCGACCGTCCGATATCGACTTCTCCTCTTACACGTTCTCTCTTACAAGTGCCTCTGAAACTGACGCTACTCAAGAACGTAGAAGGCAGAAGGTACAAACCAGAACGATATTCAGCGCTAAATGTACAATCAAGCCACGCGCCTTCGGCCCATACTCACACCTCTGTCCAGCACCACCACCACTACCACCACCACATTTAACCGTACCGTTCAACTCCGATAAGAGAGCACAACAACGTGAGAACGCATAAAGCATAAATACATAAAAAGGACCCCACACGCACACACACACACACATATACACATATAGTACGTCGTTAGAGAGGAAGAACATTAAATTAGAGGCACTTTTAGCGCTGGAGGTGCGTTCGAGGGTATGAATGCGGGCGGAGAGACTGTTCGCAGGGCCTCGCGACCACGCCGGGACTTTCGCCCGACGACGTGTGTCTGAGTGTATCAACGGCTCCGTTTAACAGGGCCGTCGCGTTAACGCTTTTTCAGACTTTCTCTCATAGTCTGTTTCTCGAGAAAGCCACGTTCAGCGAGCTCTAAACGCGAAATCGCTTCGGAGGAACACGTCCGTTTTCATTTCCTTTCTCTTTTTTTGTTTTTCGTTCAGCAGTCTATTACTGATGCGCTACTCACTCGGTATGCCGGAGACAAGTTTGAGCGGTCGCAACACGCGTATCGCACGCAACGTGCGCAGATCCATATCCAGGTGTATGCCTTGCGAGAACGCCGTGATGATCCTGCCCCAAAACACACACACCCCGCCACACTTTACTACTTACTACTCTATTACACTAATACTCACTACTTAAATACTTAGACTACGCCACTAGGTGGTAACTAGCGTTCACTAGCCTAGCCCGGGTCATGGGAGATAACGCTATCGGGACGATCGGATGGAATCCCCAAACGTGGTCGGGCCAGACTTTCTGGCGAATTCAAATCGGACACCGCGGGCGACTCTTGCGCGACGAGAAACGAATCTATATACTCCTCTCACCGTTCGACCATGTCTGCATATATAAATCTCAATTAACAGTGACATCAATCGCCTCTCGAATGTACGGCTGTATTTGTCCTCACTCAAAATTATGCTATTATACGAAAGCTATTGATTAAAAGTGAAACAAGAAAGAACAAGTATCGCGAATAACGATAAGTGATTCGTGAGTTTCAAATAGTTTCAAAGAGTTCAAATAGTTATTTATCACGGTATCGATAGTTTCATCAATTTCCTTTTAAAACGATATTACGAGACGCTTCGCGCAATGCGTCGTTACACGCGGACATCACGATTGGTAATTGTAATAAAAGAAAACAAATATCGATCGACCAACGATCGACCGTCTCGTTCTTTAGATCGCGAGCTTATTTTGAAGATGTATCCGCGAAGGAAAAAAGGACCGTTTCCCGATTAATGGATTTTTCGATATGAAGATGGCCGAAAATCGAAAGGTGAAGTACGGCCATCGGTCTGACGAGGTGAAGAAATGATCTACTGAAAAGGGCGCTGGGAAGGAGGCGAAGGGTCGATGTATAAGGCGTGTGGATGTATCTATGTATACGCACTCACTCTCACTAGACTATCGATGTAAGATACTGTATATAGATCTATATATCTAGATCTAGGAGAATGTAACGCAGGAACGAGCTAACGATAGCGACTATAATCACGGTGATAGTTTCCCAACGACGGCTCTAGTTTCCCAAGGATATCAGTTCGCCCGGCCGCGGTCGTCGACCGCCTCCGGTCTATCCCCGGCTATCACGCGTTTGGCGTCGTGGGGACGTTTCAAAAAGGGATCTCTTCTAATTCGAGAAATGCGTGCGAAATGCGAAGAGGTGATACATTTTCTCCGACCCAATTAATACGCAGGATATATTCGAACTTTGACATGATTTTGCACCTCCTTAATATGTCCTCGTAGTATCCTGATGTAACGGACGCGCAAATTTCAGTTTTTTCATTCCAACAAGTCGATCGTAAACATTCTTAAAACTATCTTCTTTCTTTCACTTGATATGACACTCGGAGAAGCTGGCGGCAATTATTTTTAGCACTGCGGGAAAACAACCGATAGCAGACGGCGATAGCAGCGACAGCTTCATCGCCGGAACAACGATTGAGCTGGAAGTGATTCAGCAGCTTTCTCCTCCGCGGACTAATTCTGCAGACCGGAGGCCGAGGAATGGCGTTACCATGACTCTAACGAACCTCTTCGGGAACGAGTTCTTTCTTAAGCGGTATACATTATATAAAATAAAATAGGGCTCTCCCTGTGTGTAACGGCGCGCTACGTTCTATATATCCTAGACTCTTAATCGCGACTTCCTAAGGGCGAGGATCCTAAAGGCGGTAATTGAATCCTTCGTCGTGGTAATGGTAATGGGAATCCTTCGTTATTAAAGACGCTAATGACGGAGGACTAGCGGCGGGTGAAAAAAACTGGATCTGGCTAGCTAGCGAAGAATCCGGTGGAAGCGGAAAGCGAGTTCCTAATTAACGGCAGGCACCTCGGGAGGTGATTATCCTCGAGAATTACGGGGAACAGGGAGGAGGGAAAGAGACTCGACGAAGCAACACGATTTGGCGACTGTCGTGAACGCCTAGTCTGTCTAATAGTGAAACGGTTCTCTCTCTCTCTCTCTCTCTCTCTCTCTCTCTCTCTCTCTCTCTCTCTCTCTCTCTCTCTCTCTCTCTCTCTCTCTTTCTCTCTCTCTCTCTCTCTCTCTCTTTCTAAGCAAAGTACGAGTATTCGCCGGAAACACTGCTCTAGAACACGTATCCGTTTAACAATGTATAGTCGACTCTATTATTTAGCAACTGCGGCTAAAGATAGCTAACCGCTAAATATAGGCACCGCGCGACGGGTATCACATCATCCGTGTGCGTATGTGTGTGTGTTTTCCTTTCCTGTCTGGCCGCTCATGAGTGCGCATCTTCAGGGACCATTTGTCTGAACCGTTATCACTCTTTCGTAGGAAATGCTATTTCTCTCCCATTCTCTCTCTCTCATTCTCTCTCTCTCTCTCTCTCTCTCTCTCTCTCTCTCTCTCTCTCTCTCTCTTTCTCTCTCTCTCTCTCTCTCCCTCTCTCTCCCTCTCTCTCTCTCTCTCTCTCTCTCTCTCGAAATACGAACTATTACGACGAAAAGAAGTTTCTCAGCCGTGGGTCTAAATTACGTCCTGACGTTTAAGTAAGTGCAACGATTAAGTTTCAACGCCTGAGACACGGCGATTGCCCGGCGCTCAAACTGCTCGCCACGCGCTCATTTGCCTACGCATACACAACGAGTCCGAGAGCCATTCGGTCTCGGAATTGTAGATAAAAATGGCCAGGATTATTCCGCGTCGATGGAAGAAACAGCAGTCATGAGATACAATAATGATAAAAAAAAAATAAAGATAAAAATACGTCGTATTTCCAATTGAGGCAATGGAGAAATTCTCGTGCGACGTGCGCGTTATCGGAGAAATTTACGGGAGAAGCGTTTGAGAAAAAGAAAAAAAAAAACACTATGGCATTATGAAGTTTCAAGTATCGCGAAAATTTGGCGCCGTCCTGAAGTTGTTTACTCAAAGATGCAAACGGTGCATCTGCACGTGACTGCCGTCTCCCGAGACTCTCGAGAACGTGTGCGTAGGGTGAGAGCACGATCGTAGATTCCAAACTGATCCTAATTCTAGTCGCTAATTCACACAAGTCCTCTATAAAGTAATTAAAATATATAGATATCTAGACGAAATACTCAGAAACAACCTAGACACACAGAGAAAGAGAATTCATATGTATATATAATGTGTATATATGTATAGATATATATATATAAATTATTGTCCAACAATTATCGACCAGCAACTGAACTAACTTTACCCATCACCAACTCTTTATCTAGTGTTGTCAACAGATCTAAGACACCCATAGCCTCTAAGCGAAGGTTAGTAAAAACGTACGGCGTGTGTGATTATACGCAATTAGAAGACTAACGCAGGAGACTAGAAGGACGGGAACTAATAATATATAAATATGTATGTGTGTGTGTGTGTGTGTGCGTGTGTGTATGTGTGTATGTGTTTAGGTGTGTGGGTGTAGATGTGTGGGTGTGTTTATACGTGTGCTTGTATAGACAAAAGTTCAAGTCGATGCTTCTCTCACTTGCCAGAACTAGACGTCGCACCAGGTATAACTAAAGCGTGGAGAAACCGGCCGAAACTGAAAGGTCGAACTAAGTTTCGGCGACGAGACATTAAAACTATGTTCGTAACTATGAGAACGCACACAAATTGCCAGGAAACACAACGTGGAGAACAAAGGGGGGCGGTTCGAGAGAAAGGAATCTCGGAGGGGTTATAGTCGTCTGCTGTTCGACTGTTAGCTCGACTGTTACTGGCTTTTGATATCGGGGGTGCTTGTTAGTCGCTGCTTTTCTTTCGCAGAACTCTGTCTGACTCACTTGGAATTTTCGAAACCAGCTTTAGCGGTCTGAGGACCCTGAAGGAACGTAGCATACGCAGGTCGACGTCCACGTTTGTTTCGGCGAACACGGTCATCGACCTAATCCAAGGATTACTCTAGAATCTATCTGTCCAACCGGCATGATAGTCGGTGTGTTTTCCTTAAATCCTATGACCGGAGAAGTCAGTTCGAATGCCGCACAAATGCCATGTATATACGTTATCGAGAACCGTAAATTATACCGTAAATTCCAAAGACTTTACTATTCGATTCGACAGTATATAGATTTTCAAGAAAAAGAGAATAGCTTCCCGCGTGTAGTTTTCCATCGACTCAACTGTGTCTGGCGACAACCGAACGTTCTGTCTGGCGGAACTGATTTCTCCAGCGACTTGTTTCCTCGCAAAGGTGTAAGCAGGATAGGAATCGTTTCGTCACTCGCTCTAACCGCGATTTAATTAGAGTACGAAATGATGCGGCGATTATTTCCTCTTTCTCTCTTCAACAATCAATGTAAACGATCTACCCTACTTATACGCATGAATAAAAAATGCGAATGCACAGAGGAAAACACTGTGACCAAGATTGTTTATATGATGGCACGGTGTGATACCGTATATGTCATGTTCGCGAATGAGGGAAGAATTTTTTCACATAAAGATGATGAGAGAACGGCACGCGATTTCACTCACAGGATAATTAATAATCATCAAAAGATTAAATCAACCGAAGGAGACTTTCTTTCTTCAAAGGCGCGCGAGTGTGACTAACATCATACGGGGGATCGAAAGGAAACTGGAAGAAAGAAGGACGAGAGACCGATGTGAGAGGAGAAAGAAGGCTCGGAGAGGAGCACTCGGCTGAAAAGACAAAGAAGGAAAGATGGAGGAGCTGGAAGAGGACGAGGAGCAGAAGAAGAAGTAGAAGTAGAAGAAGAAGAAGAAGAAGAAGAAGAAGAAGAAGAAGATGATGAAGAAGAAGAAGAAGCGTTTCGTTCTCACCCGGTCACCACAACGAAGAAGTCCATGATGTTCCAGATGTTGCGCAGATAGGAGCCGCGGTGGAGGACGAAGCCGAGGGCGACGATCTTGAGGCTCGCCTCGACGCAGAAAATCCCGAGGAAGTAGATCTCCGTAGCCTCGAGCTTCTGTGCGAGTATAGTCTTGTCTTGCTTCGGCAGATGCTCCTCGAGGGCGAGGACCACGCAATTGGCGATGATGGTGAGCAGGACGGCGTACTCGAAGGGCGGCCACTCGATGATGAAGCGGGTGTGCTTCCGTATGCAGTTATCATGCGCCAGGATAAACAATGACGTGTTGTGCTTGCCGGCTGCCCCACCGCCACCCGCCCCACCGCCCTGATCCCGGCCTAGTGCCATATCCACCAGACCAGGTACCTGCAGACGAAAGATCGTTTTAAATCGCCGACGAGCCGACGTGCGTTATGGTGGACGTGAATACGGAAAAGGAAGCTTGGTACGTTTCTTTCTCTGTAATTCTCATTCTCTTCAAACGGCCGCCGGAATCGAACGCTCCGCGCGCTGTTGGACTCTTGCAGACATTACGAGAGAGAGAGAGAGAAAGAGAGAGACGAGCATCCCCGAGAGAAAAAGTATATTATCAATGGGGTTATTAAAAGAGTCGTTCAGGGACGACACCGTTTGGATTTTAACCGCGCGACACAATTGAATTGTACCCGACCGACCCGACCGACCTGCCGTTCCGATCGAGCAATGGCGAAATAGTTGAAACTCGAATAAATATCGAAGGTTACATAACTCGGCAAAATATCGAGGGTAATTGTTTTCCAGGCGAGAATCCGCGACAAGAGATCGTTCGTTTCGGCGGAGGAAGCCGGGGCAAGCTAGAAACCGAGAATCTAGCGCGAGATCGATTCAAGTGCGACAACGCTTCTAGAAGGGAGGGAGGGAGAGAAGGAGATCGCGGTGGATCCGAGCGACTAACGACCGCGCGACTGCGGCGGCGTTTGACACTGAATTAATACGGCGGAGCGTGGACGTAACAGTTACAAGGGCAGAAACAATCAACAACGACAATCATCATCAGCTCACCTCCCCTCCGAAGCTAGTCCAGTCACCGAGACCACTCAGTCCGGCCAACCTCGGCCTTCTCCTGTACTGACTCGCGTATCCAGGGTCCCTTTGTGCCGCCTCTTGCGCTGCTGCCAACCTGCAACCGACAGGAAATGAAAGGGGTTAGTGACTGGCCCGATGGTTCAGGTCCGATCGGGGTTATTCGTGTGACGTACGTCATCAAATAACAACACCACGACCGTCGCGGCGGCTATCAGCGGTAACGAGCTGCGAGACAGCCGTCCGCAGATCGATCCCACTTCGTGGCATTTGCAAGAATCGCGACGGCGGCGGGAAGGTACACCCGGTGAGGCTCCGAGGCGGACAGAAAGCTGGCACGCCGCAATCCGTCGGTCTTATTAATGGTCCGACTGTTAATGGCGCCACTTATTAATGGCTCGATTATCGGCTATTAATGGACGAACCGTTAACCGTGTCATTAGGCGAGCGTGTCGGTGAACTCGGTTCACCGTCCATTTGCGGCCGAGTCGTCTCGCGGCTCCGCCGCGATGCGGTATCTGATTTTAAACCATCCGAGCGGACGTGACGGTAATGCCCGCGTCGAGCGAGCGAGCGTTAATTGAAAGCATCGCCTCTTGGCGGAACACATTAATCGTCGAACAAGACGACCGAAGCAACAGCGCATGGAAGATCCTGAGCTAAAAGCGAGCGCTATTTGTTCGAGTCGTTTGATCGAGAGGATAGAGAGAGAGAGAGAGAGAGAGAGAGAGAGAGAAAGAGAGAGAGAGAGTCCGGTAGAAGTCCGGTAGAAGTCCGGCAGAGATCATATTCAGACTGCGCGTTTCTCGCTAAAAGTCGACCACGCTCGCGTGGCCGTCGGTCCGCATTAGGCAGATACCTCGAGCACCTGGACTCGCTCGAGTTTAACGCTGAATATGCAAGCGCGCTAATCAAGAGTCGGCCAGCCTTAATCGGAAAGAGACTTTCGCGTATTTCAACGAGATCACCGTCAAAGTTTCCACGCTCGCGGCGCGCGACGACGAGGACGAGGACGAGGACGCACGTCCGTGCTGAGCACGTACTCGGTGTGTGGAAAATTTCGAGCTGCGGAATTATTCACGCGCCGTGCGGCTACTCGCTCGGCCGATGGCTCAGAGGGATCGCATCATCATGAAAGAGCTCGTTAATGGCGAACGGAGGTGCGCGTAACGCGGCTCCGGCTTCAATTAAGTGCATTAGCCGAGACTTTTGCGACAGACAAGCCCGTAGTGCGTGGCTCCTCTCGCCCTGCAGATAGAGCGAAGCGCACGGGCGAGCGAGCGGACGGGCGAGTGCAATCAAGGCACACGATAATGCAATAATTCACGACAAGGATCTCCCGCGCTGCCGCGCGTAATGCGCCGACTGCGCGATGCACGCATTAACGCCGATGACGAAATTGCTGCGCTCGTAAAATCGGATCCGATACGAAAGACGCGAGAGCCCGATCCGGTACATTATCTTTGTAATAAACGTTTCCCTCGTACGTATATATATATGTATATATAGAAGCGGGCGTGCGTGAGCGTGTGCGCATGCGTGTGTGCGTGCGCGCACATGTGTATGTGTGTGTGTGTGTGTGTCCTAATTTTAACGTAACAAGCACTTTACCGTAAGACCAATCGAATTACCGCTTAAAGTTAGTTATGTGTGTTATTAATATTTCGTTCCGTGCTTGATTCCGAATATGTCAAACGGGGCACTTTGCCCGCGAGCTAATCGATATTTGAAAAATCGAGAAGCCGCGGAATAATACGCGGTCGTCCTGGTTCCTCGATTAAAATATTCCGCGCGAGATGCCCGATCTCGCGAGAGAGAATCCAAGGGAAATAGGAATCCGAGCAGGAAAGGAACAAGTTTTTAAATAATTTCTGGCGCAGTCGTTCGCTCTCTCAAAGGCAGAGATCATTTTCTAATCTGACTGAGCGCACTAACGCGACTGAATCGAGCGCCTTAGATTCACTCGTGCCGTTCTAAAAAAAGCTCACTGCTGAATTTGCACAACGTGGGGAGGGGTCTATTCCCGATCGATCGTAGCTGAAATTGAGATGTCCCTCGAAAATCCGTAAAGAGCACTCGAGATCCTTTCGAGAACGTCGATACGTGCTCTATTTTTCCGCAACGCACACAAACGACTAACGTTACAACGTTAGTACAACGAGTGACGAGCAGATTTCTTGACAACACGCGTGAGGTGAGTACTGCCGGATAAACAAAGAGCGAACGATATCCCTACCAGTTATCCTCAAATCATTTCCAATTTCAACAAAAAGAGTCAGATATTAATATCGTGAACGACGGAATCGGTCGAAAGCCAAAAGCTCCAAGAGTTTTCATCGGTGTCTCGAAATTTTGACTGAGCAAAAAGCGAGAAACCAATCGAAGTTAATCGAGGCAGGGAGGTAAGATCTCGCCTCGGAAACAAGCCGCGCATAATATACGATAACAGATAAAGTTTCGCGATTTGTCGCGTGGCTCTTAGCTAGCGACTAGCGGGAGAGGAAAAAGTTCGCGCCGAGATTCGCCGCTCGCCTTTACGTATCCGCAGAATCGAATAACACGGGACGCGGAATAGCTCCAATTTTATCGGCTACTTCCACGGTGTTCCCTCGTTCTGGTTTTACGAGCCCCTTCCTCCCTTCTATCGCCGGCTAGAAATGGCCGGCGACCGACGAAACGGCGCCAGCGGGATAGAAGTATTCGTAAGAAATAATTAATATGCAAGAATACACGCGGAGATCGAGAATAACAGGACCCAGAGCTCAAGCTTGTCGTTTTTCTCCCGCCTCTTCTTCTCCCCCTTCCTTTCCCCCCGTCGCGCTTCAAAAATATCTTTCGATTCGAAAAACTCAAACGTTGCTGCGTCGGCGGCTTTTCGCGATTTGTCACTTGTTGCTTTGCGCGTCCGGCAACTCGTGCTTTCGCGATCGGAATTGTCAATTTGCTTCTTTTAGACATTGATTTTTTCATTTTTCATTCGTTATCCTCGAACATTACGGATCTTGGTTTAATTCTCGTCTCGTCGGTCGATTGGGCACCATAAAAATTACATTACGCTGGATATATCAACCAAACATTGAGAAGAATTAATTTTTCGTAACAGTTATCGAAATTATTGTTCATACTTATTCGTGTTTCAGCCTAACGTCGCTGAATTATTGAGAACAGGACAGGAATAATTGATCTAGTTTGTTCTGTGCTGGCGGGATCAATACTACTCTCGAAAATGAACCGGTCGGCTAGTCCGATGTGTCCGTTTTGCAAGGACGCCGCGAAACAGAGCAATACCACATAGTGGAAAGGATTCAATTGCGATCGTGGAGATTGTTGCAACAGCAACAGGTGTAATTCTTCGGTGATTAGGCGGCCTTAAATTAATCGTTATTAAAATTAATCATTATTAAAGAAAGCAAGATTCCAGGATCACCAGGACGATATTATTATTAGACTGACTTGTCGCTCGCCGTGATCGTTCAATTTTATTTGCGAAATTTGCGCGACGCGGCTAAAACTGCACAATTCGTTCGTCATGTACATATTTCATACTTATCACGTCATATTTTTCCCCGCGAATCCTTGACAAAGAGGAGCCTCCGATAACCCTCTCTCGTGTTTTTACCTTCTCTTTTATTTACAAAATATATCTTTTATATTTCTACACTTCTCGCGCGATCTATAATCTCACGGGGCAAAATTCCCGATTTTGCCGGTGAAATTGTGCTCGCGATTGCGATTATTAGACGCGCTACGAGCGCGTCGCGTCGCGTCGCGTCGCGTCGCGCTCGTAAAACAGGAGCAGAGGGGATGTCTTGCGCTTGCAACGGATTGCCGCATGCGGACGAGAGCCCTCGGCACGAAGGTTAATCACGATTTATGCAACAACGCTGTGTTGCAGCACGCGCGCGCGCACTCTCTCCGAGCCGGCACGGAGCACGGTTTTTACCGGTTAGCAAATAACGGCGAGACGCGAGCCGTGCCAAATGGCCGTGTTACCGGACGCCTCTCTGTTTTTCATCGATAGTAATTAATACGTGCCGGGCAGAAGCTCTCTCGGTCGAATTTTTCCTCCCCCCCTCCCCTGTAAAGCCCTTCGACCGAGCGTCGCTTCATAAATATTCAGCCGTCGTTGAATATTTCGACTACCTCCGGAGGAAGGAACGGCGCCGTCACACGTGCAGGCAAGCGGACATTCGAGCCACTTACACCAAAAAGCCCGGTTATTTTGAACTTTGAGCCGCGTTATATGGATTTTACGAGGTCGATTTCAATGTCTTCAATAATAAAAAGAGTCCGCTCTATGTAAGGCATAGCGTCGTCCCTAAACAGCGAGGGACGGTTTCGCGGGACAGATCTTCAAAATAAAATCGTACAAAACATGAAATTTTTCACGGGGACGGTTGAAAGGAGCTTCGAGGCCCGCCTTGAAGGAGGAATCTCAGAGTCTTCGAGAAGACGCGATGAAACATTTTCCCAATTAACTGCTATTAACTGATATTAACTTGCCTGATTAATTAATTAATTGCCGACGACTGAGAGATCTCAGGCATATAGCCGCGGGTGAAGAGAGGAAAAAGAAAAAGGCTTACTCGACGAATCGACGCGAATCCGGACGTCCCAGTTTCAATGGTTAAACATCGTGTCTGAAGTAGAATGCGTCGGATAAGAAACGGCGCGAGGGTCGTAGCCGCGGCCGCGTAAAAACTGCTGGTGGCGCGTTGAAGTTCGCGGTAAAGGAAGATCCTGATTCCCCGCTAATTGAAGTAACGAGAACACGAGCGAGTGGCCGATACGAAAAGAGAGGAGGGTATTTGCTCCGCGAAAATAGAGCGCGCGGCATGATATACGCCATCTTATTCGCAAAGGGTCTCGAGGGTTTGATTGAAGAGAGAATACTAATTCTCTATCTCGAGGGCCCGTTAACCGGGCTGCGAAGCGGAGAAAGAACCGATCGATTTATTATTCGCACTGGTAATTCGCCTCGTTAATTATGTACATTTCTGATAGGGAGGCCGGATATCGTTAGCGTACTGGCTGTTGATACCGCTCTCGCGACACGGATAAGTGTGCGAGAGACAAGAGCCACGTTAAAATCGAGAT